TGAATTGGATAAAATAAGCCAATATGGTGGCAATGGTTAGAAACAATGAAAATAAACGATAAAGAAAATTTCAAAGACTTAATAAATAAAAAAACTTTTAGACATTTTAACACTTTAAATTACATTGAACAAAATTCAAGTGGTCTAAAAATCGGGGAAATATCTACTTTATAAAATAAATTTCCGTTTTTTAGAGTTTATATTATTTGCAAAAACAATACACAAGCCAAAAAAGGAAAATCATCAAAAATATGATTAATATCCCTGTAAAAAACAGGCCAAAACAAAAATAAGGGCGTTATTTTTAGTGTTAATAAAACAAGAAAAAATTATATAAAAGAAAAAAACAAATCAAGAAATTGACCAATATGTACCTTGATGGGTTAATTGGTGGTAACAAGTTTTTATACAACATTACTTGTGTTTTTTGGTATTTTAAAAAACTTTATGAATTAGTATTAACAGATGATATTTTGAATGATAGGAGTGATTATTTAAGTTCATTTATTTAAATTGAATTTTCAAAAATTCATAAACCAAAACATTAGAAAGACTTAAAAATGTTAAGGAGTTGGATAGAGATTAGTGTGTTTATTTTTAACAACGACAACAAATAAAAAAATAAAAACGCCAAAAAATGAAAAAGAACAGTAATTTTTAGCAGAGGAGACCTAAACTGATAAGGAAATGTTAATACCACCACGCAAGATTTTTAAAGAAACTCAGATTGAACAAGAAACAAAGAAACCAATAACCAAAGAAGCCAAAAGTTTAGAAAACAAAAAAATTAAAAGATAATATTAGAAAGTACACTTTTTAAGCAGTTTATTGAATTAACAAAAAAAGAAAAAAAAACAGTTTCAGATTAATTAATTTTTAATGTTTAATTTGTAATATAAACTAACAAGTTAAAATAAACACTTTACATAAACTTTACATAATATAAGATAATAAATTGATTATTATTTATGTTGTCATTTTATACATTAAATTAAAACGACTTTATTTTGTTTTTAAACAAAAATGATGATACATAAATATATCTTCCATGAAATGGGTGTGTAAACAATAATTCTATTTTTTTTCTAAAAAATTGTTATATATATTTTTATAAACACTTTTAACACTTTAAATAACGTACTTATTTTTGTTTTGACCTGTTATTACTGATATATTGATTCAATTTTTAATGATTTTCCTTTTTTGTTTGTGTGATGTTATGTACATAATATAAACTTTAAAACAATGGAATTTTATTTAATAAACTCGAAATTTCCCTATCTTCCGACCACTTGAATTTTGTTCAATGTTATTGGAGTGTTAAAGTTTATAAATTAAACTAGAATTCAAAAATCGATAGTGTATTTATTTTATTTTTGGTAATATGTCGGGGTTTATCTTACTATACTTTTATCCTCTTTTTGGATCTAACAAAAATTTGAGGAAAAAGTGGCTAAATTTACACATAAAAAATAAAAAATACACCTTTTTTCAAACAAAAGTTGCTCAATTTTACAAAAAAATTAATCTTGATTTGTTTAACACTTAATTGTCAAAAAAGACATATTTTTGTCCATCTTTTTGGTTTTTTTGTTATAGAACTTAAAATAATTTTTTGATTCACAACATACCCTATTTTTACTATAATTTAACTAAAAAATAATATGAAAGAATTAATTATTTTTATAATAGTTTTAATAGTTTTAATAAAAAATTTCAATAATACAAAAAATACATAAAGTCTTGACTAAACAAGCGGAAATAAAAATACAAGGACGTGAATTAGTAGCACATACCAAAGCTGTTAAGCGAACCACTAAAAGCCACCTCATCAGTCTGAGAGGTGATTTTACAACAACAGTAAAAAAGTATCAGTTTAATGTGGCTTTATGGAGTCAACAGGTTGCACAATTTGAAATTATAACGATTAGTGGGAATAATAACTTAAATAGGAGAATGCTACAAATTCACCAAAATTCAAAATTATTTGGACGTGTAAAATCGGGCAGACAAAAAAGTGTCCGTTCTGACTTCAACCGCCATTCATTTTTTTAAGTCAAGACTAGTTTAATTTTATAAGTTTTTACTATTTTATATAAATTTTTATAGAACATTATAAAATTGAATAATTTTGTTTTTCTTGAACATCATTTCCCAAAAACGCAATTTCTATACCTTTTAAGTGTTAAAATAAAAAATATCATAAATGCATTACATTAAAACCTAATTCATGTTATTTTAGATTTGAAACAATTCAATTAAAAATTTGTCAAAAACAAACTATTTTAATAGGATAAAAAACATTTACATAAATAAACAATTTCGACTTTTGTAAAGCTTTTTTTAATTTCAACAAAAATCATATTGAAAACAAATTAATATTAATTAATTGCAATATTTCAACTTATAATCTTTAAAAATAATTACATGTCTGTTGTCAATAAAACAAATAAGCTCATTGCTAATTTATTAAGAGAAGTGAAATCATTTTCTTTTATTACCAAAACACTTCATGTATCACCAAACAGAGTTTCTTATAACAAAAAGAAAATTGAAAACAATGAAGAGTTGATTTCAAAAACTATAGGCAGACCTTCAATTATGACACAACAAAAAATAATAACTTTGATCAAAAAACCTTCTATTAATCCAGAATCAACGTGTTGTGATTTTGCTAAATGTATAAATGTATCAAAATCAACAATTCAAAAATACAGAAAAATAAACGGGTTAAAATATGGCAAACTAAAGAAATCTCCATTTTTAACAAAAGTTAACATTAATAAAAGATTAAATTTTTGCAAAAAGGCGGTACTAAAGAAAAATTATAAAAAATGGAAAGAGGCTATTATAAGTGATGAGTCGAGATTTGGATTGTTTTCTGATAATGGAAACTGTTGGTATCACAAAAGCAGGAAAATGAGATATAACAGAATAAATCCATTTAATATTGGAAATCAAACTTTACTTATTAAAAAGAACAATAAGATGTTTAAATCAATGTTTTTAACACTTCCAAAACACAACGATTCATTGATGGTTTGGGGAGCTACGATTACAATAATACAATAATTAATCGGAAATAATTACAAATCACAGTTGTTACTATGTGACAACAGACTTAATGCAATTGGCTATCAACACATGCTTAAAAGTAATAAAGTGTTTGATGATATTAGACGAGAACGCAACAAACAAATAGTCTATTTCCAACAAGATGGTGCCAAGCCACACACAGGAAAAACTACATTGATTTTTAAGAGAACAATAAAGTGAGATTGACTGGGTGGCCTCCTTCAAGTCCGGATTTATCACCAATTGAAAACGTTTGGTCGATACTTGAAAATAGAATTAGAAAAAAGAAAAAATATTTTAAAAACAAAAAGAGTTTGTTTAGAGTGCTGAAGAAAGAATGGGAATCGATACCAATGGATACAATTAACAATTTAATGCAATCGATGGAAAAAAGATTTTCTCTTTGTATTCAAGAAAAAGGTAAATTCATGGGCCATATTCTTTAAAAAAAGTTGCTCGAGATAAAAAGCTATTACATTAATTGTATCTTATTTTTACGTGTTTTTGATTAAGATTTTCAACAATTAATGGTTTTAATTTTTGAAAAAAGTTGATATTGAAATATAAATAGATTCCGTAGTTTTCCCAAAACATTATGATAAAAATAGACCGAAATATTTTGGGGGTACTCTCGACTTTTGGGAAACAGTTTATTATTCCTTTTCTATATTTATAATTATTTGACACGCATTTCAATCCTTTTGTTACCATTTCTTAATAATTTTATAATGTTTTTTACTTCAAATAAATATTGTCAGCCCAAGCATTTTGATGAATCTTCAATGTCTCCTTAACAATTAAATGATTATAAAGTGTAGCAAAAATTAAAGCTAAGAACAGTGTTATTTAAACTAAAAGATGTTGCATTTGTTTTTCATATGTTTTGTTTTCTTTCCTTTTTGACACACCTCACCAACCAGACTCTTTTCATCTTCGATCCTTTTGCTTTCTCGTGTTGCAACAACATCTTTGCATATCATTTGGAATAACTCAGTAACGTTGATTTTGTTTTTGGCAGAGCACTCGATGAACGAAATCTTCCACTCATTTGCGATGTTTTGTGCTTCGTTGCTTTGAATTCTCCTTTCACTCTCCAAATCGCATTTATTGCCCACCAATATAATAGGAATGTGTTGTGTGTATTCCATATCAAGAATTCGATATATCTGCTCTCTGACCGCATTCGCCTCCAAAAACGATGATTGTGATGTGATTGAATAGACAAGCACATACCCATCACCCCCTCTTATATACGAGTCCCGAAGTGCCATGTACTCTTCTTGCCCTGCAGTGTCAAGAATCTCAAGAGTGTAAATATTGCCATCAATTGATATCGATGTTCTGTATGAGTCTTCAATTGTTGGGTCGTAGATGCTCAAGAAGTGTCCAGAGACCTCTTGAACAGTCAGTGCTGACTTTCCAACTGCACCACCACCTAACATGACTATTTTGACCGATTGAGACATTGTGTTGTTAATTTGTTGCCTTGTTTAATTAGTTGTGTGTTTATATACCCATTACAATTCATGGTGAAGTTTGATTTTTTTCAACACAATTTGAGTATTATATTATAATTATTAATAAATTATAATATATAGTACATTTATTCGCCTGTTTGGGTGAAGTTATATGTTTTAAAAATTATTTTGTGGTGAAGTTTGAACTCTATTTTTGGTCTTTTCTATTATTAGAAGACTTTGTGTCAACACACAAAATAGAAAGTATTTGCTTTCTGTTTAAAACTTTGTTAGCACAGTGATTGGGTCGCAAAAAGTCGACAACAAAATACAACTAAATGGTACAATTAATATGTTGGCATTGTAGATATAAATTTTAAATACATTTCACAACTTGTCGCCAAGAAGAGCAAGTCGTCTTGCCATGAATGCCACCTTTTCACTTGTGGTATCTATCAGTCACTTTCTAAACATCAACAAAAAAAGACAAAAAAGACAAACCCAAATTGAACTGAACAGTAAGTGTGGTGTTAAGCACCTCATCATTGAGATACAAATGACACACGCCAGCCCCGTACATACACACAGACGACAACAATCTCATATCATTAATGAACGACCACTCTCTTGCCTTCTCACACTTTGCCTTGTCTTCAAAAAGGCCATCACACCACTTCTCGTCGATAGATGGGATGATAACCATGTCGGCTGTTTGCAGTTTATAAAGAAACCTCCGCGCCTTTGTCACTAACTCGGCACTTTTAACAATGTTTCTGTCAATCTCCTTCACTCTCAAAAACGAGTTGATCACTGACTGTAAACGATTGCGATCGAAAAACACACTGAAAGTGTCTTCTGGCCAATATCGCACATCAGCACCAAATCGGCAGATGTTTCCAATGAACATCCGACTGAATGTCATGTTGCTTTTCCTCACAATTGGGTGAATGCGCCGAAGGAATTCATTTAACAGTTTATAACTTTTTATATTAGTTCCATCTATTTCATCGTTTTCAGTATTTTCGAAATCGTATGTTTGCGAAATATCACTTGACTCCGTCTCAAAATCGTCGATTATTTGTTCGTGATTGGTTAGTTCGGGAATCAATAGAATTAATTTATCATTTTCTTCCATATAATAAACCTATTTTTTGTTTGGAGTTCTTTTACTTGTGAAACACAAATTTTGCTATTTTATTGGGGTTTAATACTTTACTAGCTTAATGTCTTTTTAAAAGACACACATAAACAAATTTTTACCATTATCGTTTTTTGCCTTTTTGTTTTTTTTTCAAATTAGAAAATTTATTTTTTAGATTTTGAGAATTTGAATAAACCGAGAAAAATTATTTCAGTGTGTTGGACTATTTGAATAGTTTGTTAAACTATTTAAATACTTTTTAAATATTACTATTTAAGTTTCCTTATTGTTTTTAATTTGGTTTTATCATAGTATAAAAATTATTAATTATTAGTAGAAATTATTGTCCTTGTCAAAACCTAAGTACTACATAAGTTGATTCGAAATTTTTGCTAATAAAAACCCGACTATAACAGTCTTTTCTTTAATACAGTGTGGTCACTGTATTAAAGATAGTTTTACTACCTTGAGTAAAACTTAGCCTTATGCAAGACAAAACAAATCATAAGTTATTATTAAACACCATAATTTAATTAACAATTACAAAAAAGATCAATTTTAACGACTAAACGAAATAATAAATTGTTTTAATGGGCATCAAATTACTTCTTTTGGGTTTTATTATATTGAAACTTGAATATGTTAGTATGCACATTAGCACAACAACTTACATAGAAATTGATAAACATTATATACGAGTGATATAAATTTAATTTCCATAAATTCCACGACCAAATTATATTTTTTTTAATTTAACCAATTAGGATAATTGGTTGAATTTTATTTAATTAAGTTAACATATATATTTTTTGGATTAGATTATGTAACAAAAAACAGGGGAGTCTTTTTTATAAAAATGAGCACTGTGCTGTTCTTGCCAAAGTTGGCTCCAACAACACCAGAACTCTTAAATGATGCAACAATGATGTTGTTGACGCTATGCTCTAATGGTCCCAACAATTTTTTTGGCATGACAAGCAATGAAAACACCATTTGACTCTCTTTGTTCTCCTTCTTTTCTTAGAACTTGTCGTAATATGTTATAATAATCACCATGTTCTCTCATTCAAAGAATTCCATCCATTTTATATTTTTTCCGTCAACATTTATTGTAGAATTGGCGGCAATTGATCTTCAATTGTAAGAAAATCAAGTGCGTTGATGTTTTTAACAACTCCAAATACACAAGTATATAATTAGACTAGATGGCTTGTGTGAAAGACAACTTGCCTATTTTTTGTTAAAGGCAATCCCATCCTTTTGAAAACAATGGGTATTTTTTCTGTCATGGGAAATAATAATTGAAGCTTATGAATTAAGTTTTTGTTATTTTAAACAATAAAAATAAGTCGTTTATTTTTATTCTTTAACACTAGACTGGCCAACCGCACTAAAATTAACCCCCAAATTTAATTTTTAAACCATTTGAGCATATTTTGACTTGTTACTTTTCTTTTTACTTAAACTAGTAAACAATAATAAATTTAGTCATATAGATTATACGTGCAAACGAAATAAAAAAATGCTTGAATTCAAATATTTTAGCTCAAAAGTTTGTTATTTTAATAAATAATAAAACAAATAAATAGAATGAAGTATTAAAATTATTTGAGTAAAATATTACAAATATTCATTTTGGTAATAAAATAATATTTTTATTGTAAAATCTGTACAACTTGTTGTTTTTGGCATTTTTTCGTTATGTGTAAAATTGATAATCTATTTTTTTTCTCAAAAGCAAATTACCAACAGCATGATATTCAATAACAACAACAGGAAATAAACAATAAATGGGATAATATATTTAAACAAACTTGTAAATTGGTTTAAAGACTGTTAAACATTGTTTCATATATCGTACAAAAAATAAAATACATGTAATTTCAAAGAATGAAGTTCTTAACATAATAAACAATTGTAATATTAGATGAATTGTAAATCACGATTAAAACAATTTGAGTGAATTGTAAATCATGATAATTTAACCCAAATTATAAAAAGTATGAAATTTGCAAGTTATTATTCATTAGTTATAATCACATTGCATATGTTTTAATTGAAATGTTGTTTTGAGAATGAACAACGATTTAAACATATAAGTGGTTAACAGTTACAAAAAATAAACATAACGTTATATAGTAAATTGATAAGCCTTTACTTTATATTTTTGTAATAAAAGTTACAAATCATAGTCATTATACA